GCATCATTTGACCAAACAGAGATTGTTTCACAGTCTGCAAGCCGGAGAAATTCGGGCCTCCATTTAGAAGATTTCCTGCTTAACCTGATCATAAAATCATCTGCAGTAGAATTGTTTAGCCAGAGTTGATGAGTAGTTGTCATGCCTACTAGTCCTGATTTATGTTTTTTTTTTTTTTTTTTTTAGCTGAAGTCTACATGACAAACATCAATCTCTGCCAGTATCAGTTGAGTTCTTAAGGCTCCATTTTTTTCCTCATTGGCTATTTTCAATAAATAACCTTTTTTTTTTTTTTGCTGGTTTGTTTCTCCTCCTTCCCACTCTCCTTTCATTTTTTGTCATTTGTTCTAATTTAATTTAAAAATGCCCAGCATCTGACTGTAATCAGGTAGAGGGACTCAGGAGACTTCCAGCAAGAGCAGGTCTCCTGAAAAGGGTCTTTTGGACACAACAGAATGAGCCTGTATTTATTATCTCTGGGATAACAAAAACGGGGAGCGAGCAAGACTGTGCAGCCATCCTTTCAAGCTGCAGCTAACTTGGTGAAACACCCTCTTCCCCAGGGTGTGAACAGACCGCCCCTTGGCTCACAGTCCTCCTGCTGTCCCTGCTGCTGGTTCTCCAGGCCAACAAAAACAAGCATAACAAAACATGCAGAGAAAGTGTCAACAGAAAGCCCTTCTGTAGGAGCCTCGCTTTTGGAAGTGGATTGGATTTGTGGACTGTACATCCACCACAGCCACACACTAGCACTGTGACTGCTCTCCATTAGGTGTGGGCCACTTGGCATGTGAGGCACACATGATCTATTCTTCCTCTAACGTTGCAGAGAGAAGCCTCAGTTTCCCTAGATAGCAGCTGAAGATTTCTGGAGGACGTCCTGAACCCTAGATTTTGCAAAAATTGGCCTGTGTTTAAATTCTTGCTTTACATTCTGAGAAAAAAATCACTCTAACCCTCAGTTTCTCCATTGATAAACTGGGGATAATCATGTTTCCCTTTTCGGATTGTGGTGATCGAATGAAATGCAGAGATGTCTAATCACTGAGGAAAAATATCACAATGTTTAGACTAGGTGAAGTGTGTGCAGAGGGAGAGCAAAACCACCGTTGCGAACGTGCTGGAGAAATAGAAAAGCACTGTAGAAACTGAAGACATTATTATCATTATTATTGTTATTATCTTCAAGGTTTTAAGTCATTTTTATCAGTAACAGGAAAAGGTGGTGATTCTTATCACAAAATTCAAGCCTGGATCCACCACAGCCAGAGGTTCTTCTGCAGCCTTGTGAGGGGGGAGGCAGCCATGTCTGCCCCCTGGCTTCACAGAGGTGGTGCAGAGCAGCTCTGTGGGGGGCAATGTAAGGCAGCAACCCCTGGTCCTTTGTGCCGCAGCTGTTACAGATAAGAGCTATCTTGGGTCTTTAACGTTGGTGTGTCATGAGTTTCCAGGGAGGATTGAGAAAAAGTCAAAAGTTCATGCTGGTCTGTGGTTCTGCTCTTGCAAAATGGAAGCCTGACAGAGAAGGATGCTGGGAGTGCTCTCCTAACAGCATTTTCAGCTAGGGGATTTTTTTTTTTTTTAATTTTTAAATTTTTTATTTATTTATTTATTTTTAGCTTGTGGAGATATTAGCTTTTCTGTAGTTAGTAGCCAAATGGATCAAATGGATTTTTGGTCAATTGAGTACTTCAGCCCACCACAAGTGGCTGCTTAAGAAATGTGTAAGGAGACTCCTCAGGAAATAGAGGCAGAGACAAAATTAAAAGGAACTCAAAGGGACTGGGATTGTGGCTCAGAGGGAGAGCGCTCTCCTAGCACATGTGAGGCACTGGGTTTGGTCCTCAGCACCACATAAAAATAAAATAAACACGTTGTGTCCACCTATAACTAAAAAATAAATATTTTTTAAAAAAGGAATGCTAAGACCTCTGGCCAGGCATGGAAGTCTATCTACTTCACCAGGGCCTGGATAATTCTCTGTGCAATATTGCATGACTGGAAATAGTTGTGGAAGACTGTGACTCTGTCATCTATTTTTTTTTTAAGTTTCATTTCACTTCCTTAAGCCCGCTTCGAAACGTATCACAGTGCCACATGCAGTGAACATATGACGCATGGTGGTACCAGGAGGAACTTGCAAGAATATGTGACACCTACTTTTAAAATAAAGTGGAGGGCCCTGAAAGTACTGACAATGTCCAGGGGATGAGCAGGATCCTATGGGGCATGTTTCTGGAAGCCAGAGGAGAAACTGAAACATTGAGCCTCTATTCATTATAAGAGAAGAACTGATAGTATTCCAAGGTCCAGAAATCAATGGAATCAACTGGCAAAAGGGAATGTTTTCTACCTGCTTTTTAAACACTTAGCTTCTGAGGGATAGTGCAGGGGGTGGGGTTGGGGGGAGAGCAGAAAGTAAAAGTTATACACACTCTGTGAGCCTCAGCATCCTCATCTGTAAAATGGGCCAGAGCTTCCCAAGTGCCAGAACTGTGGGGAATGAATGGAGGAAAAAGTAGAGTAAGCCTCATCTGTGTCTGACTCAGAGGAAGCAGTCAACCAAAGGGAATGAGTTTTTATTAGGAGGAAGCACATAACTCTGTCTTTGGAGAGAGCCCTTCTCTCTCCCTGCCTCCTCCTCCAAGCCTCTGAGGCCTCTCTGTAGTAATTGCTGCTAGGGCTTGGCATCTATCTGTAGAGAAATAGTTTTTGTCAAAGGGCTCTGGGGTGGTGGTGTGAGGCAATTATTAGTGATCTAAGGCAACATAAGTTGCCTCTGGTGTTTATTGACTGTTTCTAGCTGGAGGCACAGAAATACACAAGCACTAAAGGGTGAGTTACTGTTGGTTGCTGCTCTCTGGACCAGCAGGGACTTGGCAAGCTCTTGGAGGACAGAGTGTCTTGCATCAATCAACAGTGACCCCTCTGGCTGAATATGTACAGGCATAAAGAGGCTCCTAAATTAGCCTCTGTTCTCCTTAGCGGGATGGATGGAAGATGAAAAGCAGTCCCTGGAGTAGGAGGAAGTGTGTGTGGTGCAG